CCTCTCTCTCTCTCTCTCTCTCTCTCTCTCACACACACACACACACACACACACACACACGCACACATGCGTACGTGCATGAGCACACATGCATATTCAGCAACTTTGTATTCCTCTTGATCAATGTTCCAGGTCACAGTAACATTAGCGCTTCCATCTCCTTGTTTTGACTGTTTCGTTGGTTCATCTATTTATTTTTACAGTTGCATGTGCACAAAAATATGGATGGGATGTAGCCAGAAACAACTAACTGCATAGGATTCCTTAAAGCCAAAGATAAATGTGCTTGAATAAGAATTTGAATTACATGAATGACTGTCTAGGACGAACACACACCCACACATGCACACCCTTTCTAACTATTCATAAATGCATATTTTGCAGACCACATATGAAAACTTCAGATACAGAGCGGAGAACCGGCTCAATGTATTTGACAGAGGTTGTTTAAGTAACTTCCTAGAGGTATTTTGGACGAGGATACCTCCTTCAAAGAATGACTTTCGTGCCTTGGTACAAGAGGAGCCATCAACAAGGCCTTCTGGCCTTCCCACCCAAGGAGATGTAGAGGGTGAGGACTTGGCAGGCTATCGACGCACCAAAGTGGAGGCTGATCTCGAGTTAGGGTGTGAGCTCTCGAAGTTCACAGGGCGTCGAGATTCTGAATCGGAAGTTGTGGATGAAACAAGGGGAAGGAGTAGTGGAGGACCCAATATTGCCTTAGAGGCTGAGCTTTTACGAGGATCAGCTCGAAGTCTTCCTTTGAGTGGTGGAGAAACATACAATGAAGGTCATCCAAGGCGATCAAGTTGGGGTCGGAAAAGCGGGAGTTGGGAGCTCTCACCGGATCTCCATCCGGTGAGTTCTCCTGGTGTTGAAAGTGGAAGGTTTCATGGAGGTGGCAACACCCCAGTTAGTAAGTGACGCATTTTATCTTTTCGAAAGTTGGAGAAATTGGTCTACAGTGAAGGTTGTGGAGTCAGAATTGGTTGTTGCGGGGATCCCCTTCTTGGCATTGTAAAATCTCTCTCTCTCTCTCCTCTTATTTGAGCTCCCTTTTGATGATTTCTCTCCCCTATTTGAGCCCCCTTTTGATGATTTTTGTTGGTCTGTATGTGTTGATTTATCTGTTTATTTTCTTTAATTAGTTTGTGTTTGATCTAGAAGTTAGATTAGATTGATGCTTGTAATGGTCTCAACTCTAGAAAGATAATTTGTGTCCACATTTTTTTGTATCTTGAAATTCTTGTTTTGGAACATATTGTGGCAGGCTTTGACCGGGGAAAATGAGAAATTCTCAATTTATTGTATACAGTAAATATAAAGGCAAGGTTTGGTTTTAATCCCGGTCTCGGTAGGTTATTAGATTATGGATAAATTTGTCAAAATGCACCTAACATATCAACTATTTAACATTTTGCCATTTTCAATTATTCCAACTCATGATCATGTGTTTTAGTTAAAAAAACTCATGATCATGTGTATTTTGATGGGATTATGAAGTTAAATCGAAACATGTGTAAAATGTTAAATAGTTGTTGCAAGTGCATTTTTGATAAATTACCTTGTGTTATAAGTTAGCATTAACAGCCTACAATTTTGGCCCTCTCTTATCATCTCTGGCCTCTTAGACAACAATGTGGAACATTTACCGAGGCCATTCTCTTTGAGATACTTGCTAATAAAATCGTTGTGCCAGTGGAGGACCTCCACACCACAGGATCCGTGCAAGAAGATTGTTCAGAGGGGCGTCCAATTGTTGGGTCTAGTTCGCAGTGAAACAGGAAAAAGCTAGAACTGTTTTTATCCAAATTTCGAGAATCTGCAGAACTTAAACTAGGTTTTCTTGGTATTCATGTCTTTAATTTTCAATACGTTACTGAATAGCAACTAACCCAAATTGTTTACTCTGGCATGTTGGACCTTATTCCCTTTCTTCGGTTTACTCTGTCAGCCATATGGGCAGGTGCTAAATCTGTGCTGCTCTTTATTCAGGCCGTAATCAAGGGAAGAAGTTAAACCTGGCAACCATGGAAAGCAAGTATGGATTTATTGATTTATTTCCTCTGAATGTACATTTCCATATACTTATAAAACTCACTCATGCAGTATCCAGAACATCAATACAACATGTGAAACATAACTGGGAATAAGGATACACACCAGCTGAGGATGGATGGAAGCAGAGAGTAGCCTTCCTGTTCATGTATCTAACGTACAAATTATTACCCATAATCCAAGGAATATTGATCATGCCAATTATTTGCAGTACATAGTGAATGAGGTTGAAGGCTCTGCATAATAGCTGAGTTAACTTAACCACAATGGTCGACGGATACTGTTACCGCATGTTCTTAAGAGCATAGTTGGAATCACGAGCAATTAGCTGTGGTGTGTACCGTTACCGCATGTCCTTCAGAGCATAGTACTGTTGGTCGACGGGAACTCTTACCGTATGTCCTTAAGAGCATAGTTGGAATCACGAGCAATTAGCTGTGGCAGTCTGGTTATGGTTGGGCCTGGTGATGCAATTGATGTTCAAAATTACAAAAAATGGCTTCAAGCTCCAAAGAGAAGACTGCAAGGAGACCTTTGTTTTCACCAAATAATAACCAAACATCATGGATGTTTATAAAATTGAAAAATATAGAAAGAGATTATTTATTTTTAGTACAAGGATAATGAGGTTACATCCATTTGTGTCCATCACATTTTAAATCAAATGGTTATAAATGTACTTGTGATTAAGCTCAATGCCCAAAAAAAAAATAATTCTTGAGTTTCATGACACATCTCAACCTATCCAATGGGATATCTAATGGTTAGGATTAATTGTGACTTCTTTGTACTAAAGATAAAAAGTTTTATAATAATATACAATCCCTTACAAAATTCTTACTCAGAACTATTCTTGAACTGAAAGTCATTTTTTTACTACACATGCAAAAGAATGGCGGACTAGGATTCTTGTAAACAATTTCAATTGGTTGAGAAAAAGCTTTGACGATGAAAACATACAAAAAAAGAGAATATTGGTCCATAGGAAGGTTGGCCATAAGAAAATTGACAACCTCCTACCCACCATTGGACATCGGGGCCCAAACAAGAAACATTTTCTTTATGCTAAGGTATCCCTTTTGGAATGGTTAAAATACTTAATTTTGTAGGAAACAGAGGGACAGAAGTTTTAGTCACTTACAAAGGAGCCGCATCTTTACATAGATTTAAGGACATATTGTGTGTTTTGATATTCTTCAAATTGCTAATATTCCGAGCTATTTCTACATGCTTAGTGATTGGATATTAATAAAATATGGTACTAATGCTGGGCATTAGTTTATGCTTCTCGGGAGGTATGTCAATGGGCTCCATTTGACTCGCAGGGTATAGTTCTAGGATTTTTGGCCTTTAAAGGCCTAGAAAGCATGTAAATAAAATAAATTATAGTAGATTATGCACTTCAATGGGATTTGTTAGAGTGACTTAGCGTTGGGTGGTTTATTGCCCAGGTCACATTGAAAATCCTTACTTCTGGGCATCTGACACTATTGTTAAGGGTTTATTATAGATCATCAGAGATGCTTATAGACATTATTTATAGGCTAGGTGAACTGTGAGGTCTCCAGTATGGGAAGGAAGGCATATGAGAATAATGGTCAAATTCTCAATAAAATTTCCTCATGGCATGTATATATGAGAATCACATTTTGGAAAATAATCCTACATAGAGGACATGAGTATATGTGCACAGAGAAAGCCCCCTTGCGCTACAGTGATGTGTGTGTTTTGACTTCTCTTAAGGGAAGATTTTATAATCCACATACTGAGAGCCAATCATGTGCTCTTGCACTTGGTTGTGGGTCATGGATCCGGTTGGGCTGGTTTGAGAAGATAGTTAGAGATCATTGATTGTAGCTCATGTGGGGTGCCTTGACATTATGTCCTAAATAGGGGTAGCAGCAGCAGGTATGGGTCGGGTCTGGTTGGATCTGAACCCAAACCCGAATAGTATTCAGGTCTAGGTTTTGGACCTAGACCCGACTTATCGGGTCCAAAAGTTGGATCATACCTGTGCTCATCGGGTCTCGGGTTTGGTCGGGTCCATTGCCACCCTCACTATGAGTTTTTTCCATCATATATCCATATTATCGGCAACAAGGTCACAATCACTCGCCATTAGATTTCAAGCCTTTTGATTTGTCATTTAATAGTTAAAGATGACTATGAGTTCTTATTGTATATGATCTTTAATATACCCAAACAAATAGGGCTTGAAGTATTTTATCTCCAATAGTTTATGGGTACGGGTTGGGTCCAACCGGATCCGGACTCAGACCCGAATAGTGTTCGGGTCTAGGTTTTGAACCTGGTCCCGACCCGTTGGATCTAAATGTTAGACCCATACATGGACTAGTTTCGGGTATACCCAGTGGGTCTCGAGTTGGGTCCGGTTCTTTGCCACCCCTAATCCTAAGATCCAAGGAGAGCAGAGAAAGGAAAGTGATGTTTAAATAGGGGAATACCCTCTTTTATTATGTCCTAAGAAAAAAGAAGAGAGCAGGGCGTCATGTTTGAGGGTGTAAGCGCACTTGAGGTAATTTTAGTAAATTGGTGTGGTGGGTACTAGTGTATTATCAATGCAATTCATGCATGACAATTGATTTTTAGGAAGATGATGAGCTTTTTTTTTTTTTGACCGTTAAAATTGAGGATCAAGGAGTCCCAAATCTTCATCTAACAAGTGCAATATTCTCCCACCGTAGTGTGCAAGGGAATGTTTGGTAGCGCCAATAAGTGTACTGTCGTTGACAGTTAAAATTGTGGATGGAAGAGTCCCCGTTTAACGAGTGCAATGTGCTGTACTCCCACCGGCGTGTGCAACTGTTTAGTAGCTCAAATAAGCATAGCATCGCACAAAATAGTGTTCCCAACGGCAAGAAGAGTTGGAATTATATGTAGAATACCTTACTTCACCTCCAGTTCATTAAAGCATAAGCATTAGTCTTTCAGAACATGAAAGGATAACACTTAACCATATGACTCTTGGGTATTTAGTTGCACGTGAGTCACAATGTCATAAGCTAGCATTTAACTGTTGGATCTTGATTAAACGGCTCATAGTGTTTTATATTTTGTTTTTATTCTATAAATAATTTTGAAACAAAATTTAGGACATGCATAGATCTCATAGGGGCACATATGATAAAAATATTAAAAATATTTTTCTGATTATAAAAAAGTTACAAAAATACCCCTAAAAATTATCCCCCTATCCTCTATTTTTAAAATATTACTTGTAAGTAAAATGTCTTCATCTTTTCTATCTTATAACCCTTGGACCCCTTTGGCCATCAATTTTTGACCCAACACAAACATTAAAATGACACTCTAAAACTCCATCTCTTTATCTCAAAACTCCATTCTCTCTCTCTCTCTC